GCCCAATGCAATTTCTGCTTATTCAAAACTCCCCTTAGCCCTGAGGGAATCTGACTACCAGGCTAGTCAGCCCCTCCCAGCAGACTCAGCAAGTCTTTATGGTACTTCTGTTGTATCAGTATTGAAAATAGTTCATACTTTATTGTAAATTACTGTTATTTGCAACTTCCAGTTTTTCAGTTCCCTCTGCACAGAGATCAAGCACCCAATTTTTCCTTTGTATCCATCAGCGTAAATCAAGATAAACTCCAGTGAGGTCCGCCTAACCACAAGTGTAAACCTAGGAGGAATGAAAGGAAAATCAGCCTACAAACTACTTGGGATTTTTATTTTTAAATAGCAAAATTAATGCTGCTGCTCTGCAGACACAGGGTGACCTGCAAAGTACTAGCTCATGCATTACTAATGCATCTCCACTTAAATGCAGATTTTTGCTCCTAACACAGAACTTCAGGGAAATCCTCTCCAGATAAACTGTAATACGATACCAAATGGTGATTCAATATTTCACTTTAGCTTGTGTTTCAGCTTATTGATCTTAATTTTCTATCATTTTGATGCAGCATTTGCCTAGGGGGAAGAGGATTACATTCACTATAGTACAGCTTTTCATTATCAATTAATTATTTTAATATTCTCCACATCCATGCCAGAAGTGGCAATCTGGTTGTATTCCTTTCCTTGTTGCTGTTTTCAGTTGTGGAAACCAGCAAGGTGTGACTTTACATATTTCAGGAAGTCATTGAGACACAGTTGAGAAAAGGAAGCATAGCATAAGTATCTCAGTGTCTATGTGGGACATGCTTACCATGATAGCATTTTGTCCTTAGTCATTTGTGGTAACAGCAGTGAGACCCTGACACAATTTGGTTTTGACATAAGTTTAGGATGAAGTTTTATTCTGTACATGCCTCCCTCAAGCATTGCTTAAGTGAAGCTTCTAAGATGTACATGAAACCTTGATTGATACACTTTTTTAGATAGATAAGCTCTTTTCTCTGGACTGAACTTTTAAGTGTCCTAAATAGTAAAATGGAACATGGAAATTATGTTTATAAGTCTACTAGATCATGACTGCAATCACTAAGAGGAATTACCTAATGATGAGAACATTTTGGCAGCACTTGACATGATGACCTCCAATCTAGTTATAAGTAGGCAACACTATTTCTCAGTTTCCAGGCTGAAAGCGAGCAGCACAAGGATTGCAAACAGGTCTTGTGTACCAGTCACTCAAAAAATAAGTCCCTACTGTGGTAGAAGTATAAATAGGATGAGATTTTAAAACAGATTTTTAGGTTTGGGATTTTTTTTAATTATTTATGTGACTTAATTAGCTATAGGTTGCATTCTGTTAACATTTCCAAATGTTGTTCTTGAGTTCATAAGATTCATGTTGTTCATGCATACATAAGATTCATGAATTTCCAAAATTTTTCCTCCTAGATTAACATTTTTCATATGTCATCCTAGGATTTGTTTGTTTTTTGTTTTTTTTAAATTATCAGAGTAAGAGCAACAAAATAGTGGAAATTGTCAGTCTTGTGGTTACTGAGCTCTCTTCTGCCATGTAATTTGGTCAGCAAAACAGTTGTCTAAGGAGTAATGATCTTTGTGATTATGCTCCTTTGGGAAGCTCACCTACATGTCCTCAGTCTTCTTGTCTTCTTCTCTTAAATAATGCCCAACATTCTCAAACCCTGGCAGATTGAAACACCTCATCTAAACACAAGAAAAACTGCTAGAGAAACGTTCCTCCACTACCCCATCAAAGTCAGTCCTCTCCATGCCCATATTTAGGTCTGAGTAAGTGGTGTGCTGCAATCCATTAGACAAATATTTGTTACTGATAAGAACATAAAGCACACCATAAAAAACTGTCTCCTGACAGATTTCGTTGGCTGGGGAGTTTTGGGGAAGAGAGGGGGATATTGGTGGGGTTTTTTCTCCCCCTCCAAAAAAAGGCAGGAACAGTTTGCTTTTAGTATTGAAATCCTTGCTGACTTGATATATGTAGAGTAATGAAAAAATAGTATAGCTACAATGGAGGAGGCTGGGTATTTTTCTCATCAACAATGCATTATCAGTAAACACAGTTTACTGATTTTGATTGGAACCGAAGCACCAAATAAAACTTCTAATGCTGGGGTGTATTTCAGTTCATCACTTATGGGTTTATCCAAATCAACCCTTTAAAGTTCTCACAAAAAACAAGAGACTGCTATTGGTCAAACAGAAAGCTTTTAATGATCCAAAATAAGATTTATTTTAAATAGAAAATTATAGAATTTCAGGGGTTTTGAGATTTGGATATTTTTTTTTTGTTTAATCAGTGTGGAATCCTTTATTAAAAATTGATTTGGTACCCAATTATAGCAAAGCTATAAATACTAAATAGTAGAAAATAAAATGGTGGTTTTCTTTGGAATGTGTGTTTTGAAAAGTAATCTCAGTAGCGAATATGGGTGTTGTAATAGGTTGGGGCTTTTTCTCCCCAAGACATAAGTTCTTGCTAAGACTTAACTAAGACTGAAATTCATAAAAAAAAAAAAAAAAGAGATCAGGTGATTAGGTGTGAACTGATAAAATTTACCACTTCTTCAACTTTGTAAATTTCCATCAGAATGCATGACACAGCAGAAAGTTTGCCTAGCAGCAGTAGGTTTGCATACCTTCTTATTTCTTTTACCGGCTCAAACCTAGGTTTTCACATTAATTACTGTTCATCTATTGAATGGAAAACGTGCATTTTTAATTATGTTAGTTTAAATGTTGGCTGGTTGTGAAATCAAGTGCTTGGAATTGCTCCATTTGAGCCACATGAATCAGCAGTACTGTTTCATAGTTTTTGCATTTTTTCATTTCAGCATTTCACACTGCGATCCTTGCCCACCAGAAAACCTGATAAAGATTAAAGGCTCCATCTAGTGGGCAAGAATTTTCTATTGAAAGAGGGGAAAAAAGGTTCTAATTTTCATTTGATTTTATGCACTGAGAAATATGGCTTTAGATTTTGTTTCATTAAGCTGCCATGTTGTTGTTAATTCTTGCCTTCTGCAGAGCCATTATTTTATATGCAAAGCTGTGAAACATTAAGTATTATTCTGAGTCTTCAGCAAGAAGCAGTAAATGATACTAAATGAGTGGGTTTATACAGCAGTTCACTAACAAAGTTCTTCCCCCCCACCCCCTTCAAGCTTCAATATGTTGTAACCAAAAGAAGGTAATTTGTGTGTCAGCAAATGTTTTAAATCATTTAAGCTTCTTTCCTACTTTAAACTGACTGGAAACATTCATAGCTTGACCACAGCACTTGACACAGTATTTTGGGAGTATTTTTACTCAGGGAACTCTACCCATGTGTTAACTCAGCATGAAATGACTTGTTTACCTGCAAATGGAGAAATCTGTGTTTTCTGGCAAGACACAACTCCTGTGGCCTCTGCTGTGTCTTCCAAAGACAAACACCAAAACTCCTTCATCCTGGCATTTGTCTAGGAGCCTGCCTGGTACTGTTGTGTCTGAAAGCATCCTGTCAGAATCTAGCACCTTATTTTAGCTACATATTTGATCTAGTACAGTAGTACTGGAGAGGGGTTTTCTTTTCTTTTTCCTGGATTTCTGCACTGCGTTGCAGTTGTGCTCCCAGGTCCTGAACTTCAAATGGCAGAACTCTTCCATTTGCAGTAGTGAAACTTGGGTGTTACTCTGCCATTCCAACAAATTCAGCTAGCAGCTGAAACCTCCTCTTCAGTTCACTTCAAGCTGATAACAAGCGTAGGAGCAGGAATAAGTAGCAGCAAGCACAGATTTGGCAGAAGAGACACTGAGCTAAATGTCCTGGCTTTTGTCTGAATGTCCTTCTTTTTAAAGCCATAGAACCTAGCAAGATCAGTTCTTCCTGCTCAGCTTCCAGCAAGGGGTAGACAGTGTAACATGCATTGCAGTAATGCACTACACCCAAGCTCACTATAGCCAGCATTCATATCCAACACTGGAAAATCCATCTCCTGTGCAAATCACAACATAAAGCTTAGGAAGTTTTGCACTCCTTTTGACCACAGGGAAATCTTCCTTTGCAGTGGGTCACTTAATAGCAAATACAGAAGATTTTTATTTTGATATCAATGCACAATTTGGCAATTCTGATAGGTCACACAGACTTGCTGATATTCCAGAACAATCCTCCCTAGCTGCAGCTCTCATATGCTCCATGGAAAGGCTTTTCTGAGGTGCCAGTGGGTAAGAGCTGTCATTTGGCTTGTTTTACAGGCTAAAGCAAAATACAGTATTAGGAGTTCTTACTCTGAACCTTTCTATGATCAAGGACTACCACAGAACTGAGTAGTTCTAGAGTGCCTTTGATGAAGTTAGCGTATTTGCAACATGCAAATGATGCAATCTCAAAAAGGGGAGAAATGAAAGGCAGAACTTAAACTGCATGGTTTGTTTTTTGTTAGAGTAATGGCCCTTGGTTTCTAATGTACACAAACACCTACCTCATATGCAATTGAAGATGTTAAGCCCCTTAATTCAAAGTTGTTAAATAGTATCCCTTTTCACAGCTGGTCTTTGCTCTAGAACTGTTCATGTTTTAAAAGATTATAAACTTGTTGCTCAGCTGAAGTAAATCCCAAGTTTGGAACTACAGTAAGATCCTCTTTGTTTTACCTTAAATACCTTTTCTAGCACTAGTACTTGAACTGATCCTAATTAAATGTAAATTTCCAGATGTGGAATTGAGGATTATCCAACAAACTGCTTTTGTAATAATCTGCTGTAAACTCAAACTGTTAATTTGGGGATTAATTTATTGCCTCTTCAGATCATTGAAAAATCTCATACAAGCCTTCTAACTAGATAACTAGTTTATTTGGGTTAGATTAATTCAGCTACTACTTTGTTCTTTGAGGGAGCAGTGGTCTTTCAAAACAAATGCACTGATGTCCTTTTATAGTTCTCTACAACTATAAAATCGGTCTCTTCTTTTCTTTGCACAGCTAACCAGGTGCTGAAGTTTGGAACACTCGTCAGTACTTCCAACACCTATGACAACTCTGGGATTGTGACCATCGAGACAGACAAACCTTTGCTGTGGACAATGGCTATCAAGAGATGAGATCAGCTACAGCTGCCTTTTCTGATCTGACACAACTCAAATTACTATAAAATTTCACTGAATTAAGACAGTAAAGCTGCAGCAAGATATAAGCAGGCAGTGGTTTTCTGTATTTAATGAAAAACAAGTCTGAAATAAAACTCACTTGAGATTGAATCAAAATTACTTGAAGTAATAGAGTACTTCATTCTGGTAACTCACACTACTTAATCAGAAGATGCATGAGCAGCCACTCAGTACAACCACAAACTGAAATGAATGTAAAGAAACTGATGCTGTTTATCTGGTTAGTTGAGGCTACTTTTACAAAATATTTTATTCCAATACAAAACTATTTTCCCCCTCCTGCCAAATGGAAATACAGTACCCAGTTGCACATATATAACCGTATTACAAGGTGGTAGCACTAAAATTAGTTAAGCTCATTTTGCCATCCTGGTTTGTAACATATGTAGATGCTGATGAAGATTTTTCAAGAATAGTAATTACGCTTTTCTACTTAAGAAGCGAGTTGGTGTACTGAAGAAGCTTCAATTTTGCTGGAATACCAGTATCAGATGTCCCAGTATTGTTTTTAAAGTAATAGAAGTACCATTGTATCTTCTGCAAATATCAAATGCTTACACTAAGATTTTTTGAAGTGAATTAAATGTTTCAATCTCTGAGTCTGAGGAGGAAGAGCACTGCACCTACCAGTTTTTGCAGGCTTAGTTCTTAAAATCAAAATATCCAGTCATTTAAAATAATGGAAACTTCCAGGTTAATACACAGGGGCCTTTACGATTTTATGTACAGAATAGGATCCAAAATGGGTGTATATCCTATCCAACAGTGTGAGCAAGTTGTGGATTTGCTGAAGGACTGCTCAGTGTCTCTGACAACTAAATTATCCTCAAATGGTACATCTCAGTAATCAATTATGTTTGGATTTTTTAATTATGCCATCAGAATAAGGACTGGCAATTCAATTTCTTTGTTTGACAAGAGGTGTTTATTTCCCTATCAAGTACATACTATAACCTAGTAGGAGTATGACTGCCAAATGCAGAAAGGAATTAGTGGTAATTATGACAATTCCGGAAATTAGTGACAAGAACTCCCATACACTTTTACAACACCACTTGAAAGGATATGGAAATGCTGTTTTCTTGCATTCTGCTTTTGCTGGAACAATGCTGTTCCAAAGCTTAATTTACTGCTTTGTAAACAGCTCCTGAAAAGAGGTCATACAGCTGTCCCCCTTGGAAGCTTTTAGTATTTACAGAAAACCTTAGGCAACCTCGTTGGAATGCAACACTGACCCAGCTTCAAGCAGGACACTGGACTAGACATCTTCCTAGCTTCCTTCCCACCTGAATGATTCTACTACGGTTAAAAGAAGTAACAAAAGAAGTAAAACACACAACTACTATTACAAAAAATAAAAAGTCTGTAAAGCCTGTAGATGGGTATGATCACATACAATTTAAAAAAGAAATAAGATGACAAGAATGTTTGAAAACCCAAACTAAGCTTGTTTAATATCAAACAAATGAAAGCTGTGAAATCATTGTAGCAGGTGTCACAACTGTCTTCTTCATGATGAACATTCAGCCACCTCTGTTGAGAGAACAAAGTAATCAGTTTCAACTAATGAAGTGTGATCAAGTGATCTCACTTGAAGTCTTACTTATCCTCCCACCACTGCCTTGTTAGGACAACCATTACAGCTTATTTCCCATTTTCAAATGCTCCTTGCCTAGATGACCAACCACTCCTATAGGTATAAGGAAGTCACACATCATGGACACAGAATGGTCTTTAACCTCCTCCAGTGCTGGAGAGGGGATCACATCATCTCTGGAGAATATGAGGAGTTTTAACAGGTACTGTTAATATGTTAGTACCATGGTGCCAGTCAACTTTAAGTTCAAATTTTTCATGATGTAACATTCATTCCAAAAGGGATTTTACACATCAAACAATGTTTCAAACATATCTAGCACTCAGTAAATGAAACAAGACCAACTTTGTTCTGTGCCCTGTCATCCTACAGCACACCCACTCAGTTTTCCTTAACTTACCATCCATCCATTTACTTTGGATACCCAAATTATAAACAGGAAACAGTAAGAGTATATAAGATCCAAATAAGGTAAATGTTCTATGGTCAAACATACACTGAGGAACTGGAAATCAAAATATCTTATGTTCAGTTTTGAAGCAGAATACTCAGAAAAAACTTAAGAACTATGGATCTAATACTTTGCAGCAGGCTGAATTAACATAAAGTTCATTAACATTGTTCACAAAGCCCTGTGAATCGAGTAATACTTGTCATATTACACTAACATGTGAAATGCACAAACATTAAAACAACATGGGTCCCGTAGGGCTCACTAATGTCCTCTGTTTAAAACTGAACAGGTGAAACTTTAGTGAAATTGAATGCCGTATTCACTTACACAATTATATTGTTGATAGGGATATGGATCAATTTGACAAAGAAACCAATAAATCCCATTATTGCAAAGCCTATTGCTGTTGCCATGGCAATCTTCTGGAACTCTGCAAAAAACAAACAAAAAAATTTGTCAAGAAGTCTCATGTACAGCAGGCAGACGTGCACTGCAGTGACCAAAGGAGAGGTCTCTCTTCAGAGAGCCATGTTAACACTGAAAACACTTAAAAATGTGCACAGATCCTGAGAAACAAATCCACGTTTTCAGAAGACTGGTAAGATTTTCAGAGAGAAAAGACAAAGAATGGCCACAAAGAATGGCTGATCACAATCTTTTTTAAATAAGCAGAATCAAAAATATCCACAATGACAATTCATGGAACATTGATCCCATTATGCTTCCTTTACATCCCTACAAGCCCTGAAAGTAATCTCCAATACAGCATCAAAAATGAAAAATCTGTATTTATGTCTGTCACAGAGGAACAGCACTGCAACACCCTACAAAAACTTGAGTACCTGGGTTTTTTTCAATTACTTTAGGACAGCAACCATGAAGATGACCAAGAAGGTCAACAGCCCCTCAGAAACTTGCCAGTCTGACAAGGAATGAAGTTCCTTATGGATCTCAATAGCAAACTTAAGTCACAGACCTGTTCACCCTGAGCACATGAATAAAGCACTGTAACTTTCAGTAAGGAGGACCAGTTGCATTCTGGTTTTATAGCTTCCCTCCAGGGCCTCTACTCCAAAACCTCCTCTTCTATACTCCCAGCCACGACATGGTTCCCGTCCCAATCAGGCAATGACTGACAACTGTGGAGAACTGAATTTCAGCTACCTAACCTCTCTCCCAAGGTGAATTTTAGGACCCCTCACACTCCTGTGTACATACCAGAAAAGAACATGCTCAAGTTTATTACAGCCAGAACCTTGAACACATTGACATCTAGACAACTAAAGCTCAAGTGTAAATCTCATATTGGCAACTGAGAAACATCCACAGCAAACAAATCAACAGAAGTGACATACGGAAGGAAAGACACGTGCAAAGCTACAAGATGAAATAAGGATTGTGTTCGGGGCTTTTGTGTGCTTTACCTTTCCTGTCAGGCTTGGTGCATCTCTTAACAAGTCGTATGGAATCTTTTACAAACTGACGGCTGGGTTCCACAAACTGCATTACCTGATCCATGATTGCCTGCAAGGACAGACACATTTAGCATTGATGGTTCCACATATACACATATATACTGAAAACCAGAACTTTTCAATTACAGAAGTAGCAGTTACCTACAAAACTCGTTAAAGGCTTACAATATCCTAAAGTGTCATATTCCAACCAAAGATACTTCCACTTTGCAGGAAATGAAGACACTGTTTGAGCAAATAAACATGAGGGCCTATTTTTGATTGCAAAAGGAAAAAAAAATATGGAAAATTGTGCCTTTCAGCCCAGAAGAAAATAACAGCTCCATCACAGTTTGGCTTTCAGGTTACGTCCTATGCCGTGTTTCTGAGAACACCACCGAAGGCGTCTAAATAGACCAAAGTCGCCGGTTTGAGGAGACCCCCACGCCTGAAGCTGCCGAGGGGTGGGTGAGCACGGAGAAAATGCTGTGGCCGAGCCTTGTTCTCACCGCAGGCGTGTGCCGGCATTGCCACGGCAGGCAGGACACCCACCGGAGCGATTTGCTCCCATTAATCCATACGGACCCCCTGGTAGGAGGCTCCTGGCACGATGCCGGCCCCTCTCGCGTCCCCAGCGATCCCTTCCCCCTCGCTCCGGCTGAGGGGCCCTGCCTGCCGCAGTCCCTGCAATCCCCCATCCCTGGCCCCGTCGCACAGCCCCCATCCCTTATCCTGGTCTCCCGGGGACACCCGGGTCCCCCATCCCCGACCCCGGGGACAGCCGGGCCCCCGAGCCGCCCTCACCGCCGGCCGAGGGACACGTCGCACTGAGCGGCGGAGCGCGTGACGTCACGGCGGCGGGCGGGGCGGGTTTTGGGTGGAAAATGAGGCTTTCTGAGGGCGGGGTTTTACTTGGGTTGGTTTTTTCCCCTTCCGGTTTCCGGCGCCTGTCGCTCCTCCCGCTGTCGCCGGCGGGGTCCGGGCCGTGAGGGCCGACCCGACCCGGCAGCGCCTCTGCGGCCTCTGGCAGCGTGTTTGCTTTCCGTGCCCACCGTTCTCCCACACAGACAGGGACAAGGATTAGAGAACACAGTATCAAGCTGCTCCAGGGGAGGTTTAGGTTGGACTTTAGGAGGAATTTCCTCCTCGACAGGGTGATTAAATATTGGAGTGGGCTGCCCAGGGAGCTGGTGGAGTCACTGACCCTGTAGGTGTTTAAGGAAAGACTGGATGGGGCACTCAGTGCAGTGGTGTGGTTGTCAAGGTGGTGTTAGGGCATGGGTTGGACTCAGTGATCTCAGAGGTCTTTTTCTACCTAATTGATTCATTGATTCTCTGAATATGTTGGAGGCACTGGGAACTAAGGAAGTTCATCACCTTTGAAAACACAGGATTTTTCTTGCGTAGAGAAGTGAGCAGTGCTCAGAGGTGGGAAAGCTCCGTGCATTTCAGCACCACAGGTGTAGCGTAGGACACGTCCTTGCATGAGGGGAAAAGAGGCTGTCACTGCCTAAGGGAGCACTTCCCTGCTGCTTCATCATGTAATACATAAAGGAAGAACATAGACAAAATGAATTTACTTTTTTTATCCTTACTTTGCTTTTTATGTTATTGATTTTGCTCTAGAGCTCTGTCCCTGGTTGATGCCACCTCTGGGTTTATATTAAGTATCCAAAGCTTATTATTTATTCATTAGACTGGGGGGCCTTTGCAGCCAGTTTAGCAAATGCTTTGCTGATCTCAACTCCCTGTTGCATCTAAGCGTGCACAAAATATTTTCTGGGCTTAAATTTTTGCTGACAGCCTTCATAACAGGTGAAGTACCATCACATCACAGTAGGGGAAACTTGGTCATTCCATGAGATTTTGGCAACCACCTTCCTTTGTCTCTGGCCACAGGGCAGGTCCCTCAGTATTACTGACCTCCTTCAGAGATGAGCTCTCTGCTTGGCATTGGAGGGTTATTGGCCTGAGGTCCTGTACAGGTTTTCTCCAGAACCCCACCTTTGGATTGGATTTTGCTTTGAATGAAAATTCATTAGCACTGTTTCTCAGATGGGGCTGTAATTTTGGTGGCCAAATTCTCTGGACCTCTCCCATTCATACACTAGCACAGAAAGATTAGAGTGTCAGTCAGGCCTCCCACAGCAGATATGTGTATAATTTGGCTCTTGTCTTTGAGGCCAGTCTGAAGTCTGCCAGAATGGAAGGAAGAGGACAGGAAGATCCCTAAGGAAAGCAGCAAAGGGCCTGATAGCCAAAGTGCACGGTGTGTGGTGGGGCAGAGTAGATTGCTGAACCTTTGAATGAGAATCCACATGTAGAGACATTTTGGTGGGCTTTGTCTTATTTGGGTTTTTTTCCTTCAGTGTTACAGATAAATGCCAGAGATTGACCAACAGAGGAAACTCACATTTCCAGCTGTGCTGCATGAGGAGTCTTGCTGTGAACCATCCCCACAGTGGATGTAACCAAAAGGCACTGACTGGGAAAAAAATTAACCTGAAAAAAGAAGACATGGGTATGAAACAATTAATGACACAGTTTTCTGGTTGGATTAGCTATTTATTTTAAAAAGCATTTGCTGAAACAAAGCTTTGTTCCCCTAAAATTCTCTATTTTAAGTTGTTTTTCCTGGTGAGAAATGTTCTGGAGAAACATAGCACATCTTGCATGTCTTAACAATGTGGCTTTGTCATAAGTTTGTACTGTGGGTTCTCTAGGGTGGGGTGAAAGGTATCAATTGTCCTGTCTCAGCTTCCTTCACTCTGCCATGATGAGCTCTTTGCCTGCCAGGTTGCAAGTTTGGACTTCAGCAGCTTAGGAGAGAGGCAGAGTCCCGATTTGTGCGCAGAAAGCATCTGCTGTTCTCCTCACATAATTTTCCAGCATTTATGGTTTTTTTTGTGTCCTTGAACTAATATGTGGTTACTTAGACTTGGTCTTCATGGCAGCTATGTTACTGTTCTATATATATTTTCAAAGAGCCTTCTGCACTTAGGAAGATAGGGGAAGGTTTCCATCTCCTTGGCATGTGTATTTTTTTTTTTTCATTGAAAGCCAGACTGCTACTAGGGTGTTTTGTTTCAACTTCTTTATGGTTCTTGCAAGATTGGGGAAGAAAGTGGTGTACTTGCACAGGTGAACTTTCATGGCAGTTTTTCAAGTCTGCTTTTATGGCAACATCTAAGCAATACATAACCATTCCCTCAACAGTAAAAAAGACCATTTTTATCCTATGCAGTATGTGCTAGTGCTGATTTGCTTCTGAATGTCGCATAAACTGGAGCCACATTGGTGGGGGGAGGCAGTGGGGGTAGAGAAGGTTTTCATCCTCTCTGTGTTCCAAGGATGAGAGGGACTTCTTTTGATGACAGTTTTACTTTGCATATTTGCACATTTTGGTTTGTAGTTTGTTCTTGTCCTTTTGAGGACATGCTAGATAAATATCTGCATTTAACAATGGGCACATCAGACTGTTGTATGACATCCATCCCCCTGGATCAGGACACACGCATGGAGAGTGAGATCAGCCTCCTCTTTAGCCTCTCCCATTCCATGCTGCCCACCTGCCACAGCACAGATCCCACTGCAGCCTGCAGAACATGGTGGGATGGCAGGAGCCAGAGAGCTGCTGGAAGCTGCAGCAAACATAATTTTGGGATCAGCTGAGAGGAGAAAAGACACAAACTTCAGTATGAGAGGCAGCTCAGCTTCTGTATGGTGGGATGCCATATGTGTTGTCCCCAAGTGGTTTTGGGAAGGACAGAGCAGTAGCTCCATCTTAACAGGTCTCCAAGCTTCTCTGTTCCCCTGTGGGGTATAACCCCATTTTTCCTACCCTGAGTCTGCTCCAGTCCCAGGCAGGTCCTGCTCAGGTTCCCATGAGGCTGTTGCTGGCTGGCCTCAGCAGCAGCTCGATGGAAGGGGCAGCACTCCACTCTGTACCCCAGAGTGGGGAGACCTGCCAATCTGGGATACTGAAAAATACTAAGGAAACTGGGAAGGTGGCTGCTTGTGGACTCATGTATGCAAGGAGGATGGGTCACTGCAGCCAGTGGGCATCTGATTATGCTCTGGGTCAGAAAACAGCAGAGAACAAAGACCAGACAATAGCAGAGATTTAGAGCCCAAACAAGGGAATAATGTAGAGGAGGAAGAGAGAGAGGAGAAAGCAAGGTGATGGTGTGGGAAAGGTTAAGGGACATCCTTGTTGAACACTGCTGCAGGGAGCTGCCTTCTCAGATTTTCAGAGGGAGCAGCATAGTAGCTCCATTGATTGAAGTCATGATAATGCTCTGTTGCTTGGCAGTGTTCTTGGATGACTAAATAACTATAAAATTCGGTCTTCAGAAATTGCTAAGATATATGGGATTTTTTTTTTTAATTCTACATTATCATAAATGTGTTTGATTAATTTATATCTCGAAAAACCATTGGAATATCTATGTGCTTCTGACATTTAAAAATTAATTTTAGCTATTCATTCCCCTAAACAATCCAGAGACTGTTTGGACTTGATAAGCTCATCTGCATGATTTATGAAAGGCTGAAAGATTATTTCCCTCTTCAGTATCTGTACAGATGCAGGGAAAGAACATAAATGGTGAATTAATGCTAAGAAGAAAATGATAGTTCAGATTTTGGGGTCAGGAGGAAATAATGGAGTGCTTGTGGTCCATGTCTTGGGGTTTAGCCTCAATAATTATATAAATGCCACTAGATTAGACTTTAATGCTGTGGTTGTGAAATGTCTCTAGTCTGAAGCAGCCAACAAGCCCCATCTTCTGATTTGTGCTGCTTAATATTCAATGGAGATGAAATGTGGGGATGAGAGAGAACTGCTGTTAAAATGGATTTTTACCAGTGTTGGATTTTTGTATGTAATTTTAAAGATGATCTTTTTTAAGAAAAAAACTGTGTTCCATTTTATTTTAAAGAGAGCACTTTGGAGATTTGTGTCTGTATAATGATAGACAAAATAGGAGAGAAACAAGGGCCGTATAATAAAATGACATTGCTAACTGATACTTCAGATTAAATGTCTGAAGGTTTCTACATAGCAAAAGAAATATGGGGAAGTTAAGAGAGGAATAATAATTCATCAGCTGTTCAGGTCAGAGAGATAAAAATCAAATGCTTACTAGTTTCTCTGATTCTGTGCTTGTAATGGTTTGTTTATTTTGTCTTGCTCTAATAAATAGCAGCTGATGATATAGGCCTTGTCCCTTACTTTGTCATTTCCACATGAAGATTTTTGTGTGTATTAACAAATAAGTCACTGAATCCTTCTTTAAAAATGCTACTAGTGGATGTGGAAATACTAATTAGCACTTCAGATTAAAAAAGAAAAAGAGGGGAAAATTAAAATTGGGAATACTCTGAACCTTAAGATGATTCTTCATTATAAAGTCTTGTTTTACTTTGTTTTGGCAAATCTGCGCTTAGTTCATGAAGCATGGCTCATGCTCCTTTTTGGGATATGGAGAAAACGATACCTTTCCCTT